GTGTAGGAAATGAAGTAATGAATTGGCCAGTCCGACTCGATGGTTGTGAATTAATGAGCAGACTCAAATTGAAGGTGCGAGCGCTGCCCGTTTAACACCTTACACGCCTGCCCACACACTCGCAGACACACAAGATGCACCAAAGGCATCATATTAATAGAAAATCACATTAGTTCGCTCTACTTGACTAATGCCTCTTGTTCTGGCCAATGTTTAGCACAGTTCAGACACCAGAACATACACACACACACACACACACACACACACACACAAACACCCTCAGATAAAGGCGAAAACACATTAGAACAATGAGGACATATGTAGCTGCGCGTCACAGCGTGAGCAAATTTCCAATAATTCATTCATTGTTTTTCCTACAAGTGGATGTGTTCGAGTGTGAGTCCGCAGACAATGTGCGTATGCAGAGCAGTGCAGCTGCGGGCGTCTGTAAACATATCAAGCTTGTGGGCGAGGCGTTAACATAGTCAGATTTATCTTTCTGTTGCTCCTCTCTGCTTGTGGTTGTTCCCAAACAGCAAAATGAAAATAGCTTTGGATAAATGCCTTTGGTAAAGCTCTTAAGAGTATGTATAGACATGTAGCAAACTAAAATGAGTCCACCGTCATCTCTCGCTGACGTTAGTCTTTTTTTTTTTCCCTCAAAGATTTCAGTACTATTCATTTGGCCGTTTCGGCTCTCAAGCTAAGACATTTTTTCAGGTCAGAGGCCACAGTTAAAGAACGAAGAATCAGTAAAGAAATTATTTATTTGATTTGAGTCCTTCCAGCAGGCTGAAGCAGGGTTCCGTTTACATCACCAGCCTTGGCTGTGCACGTTCAGGACAGGGAACAGAAAGATTGCATTCATCCTTCTTTACATCCTTGCTCAACATGTTTTTTATAAATGCTCTTGAAATGCATTCAGACAATACAATTAATTTGTATTAAAAAGATTATAACTTGATGACACAGACTGCACATTTAACACTAAATAAAGGGAAACTTTCAGTTTTCCTAGCAGGGCACTTTAGTATTCTCTGTTATTTTTGCCTGCTGTACTATATTTGATTAACTTTTTTTTTATATTTCAACACTCAATTTTGACTGTTACAAGTAAAGCCTTGCACTGTAAAAGCTTTTGAGCACGCTCACTCTGCAAGGTGATAGATGCGTGTTTCTTTCTGTGTCATCATGGGACAGAGGGTGAATATATCCCTGGGTCTCGTTAGGGACTTTGGATGGTGTCACTTCTGTTTACTGCCGTTTATGCAACTTTTTCCTACAAAGGCCACAGCTAAAAAAAGTTCCTGCCTTTGTTCTTCCTTTTCAAACTCACCCAAAACACAGCTGCCAGAGTGGCATTCCAGTAAGTGCTCTTAGATTGTGTCAGTGTGAGGAATGATGTGTAAGTGTAGGTTTTTTCTCCAGTGTTTGGGGTATTCTACCCTGCTGTGTCTTTTATTCGCTCATGTCTCGAATCAGCTCAGTTGCCATGACGGGCTAAGAGGCAGAGTGACATTGCTTCCAAAGGCCATCTCTGTAGATCCCACAAAAGTCTCATCTTAAATCGTTGAAATTAGTTTTTTCCCTACTTTTAAATCACATCCACCGAACAAAACTCATCAATTAGTGAGCTGAACATGCAAAAAATTATTTATAGAAATAGTATTATTATTATTTCAAGTTTAAATTGTTTGAATACCTTCAGCTTGATAATGATAAAAGGTCTACTGTATGTCTAGTAATCAAAAAAACTTATCTGCAGGACTTAAGCAGCAGCAGCTCCTTGAGATTGCTGTCCGTGGTCCTGAATTGTATGTTTGGGCTTGCCTAAAGAAGACTTTTCATTTATTTTTGGGACTGATGACATATTTCTAAACGGGGCATCTTCAAGCTCCTTCTTTCCTATCATCAAAATAGTTTCAACACTCTGATTTATTCTTTAAAACTATAACAAAATTTGTGCATACCGTTAAGACTAAATCTGTGCAAAATAACAACCCACCGATGGAGCCTGATAAAGGAAGGTTGTTACAACTGTTTGATTTATTGGACAGTGGATAAACTGAAATTGGAAACCAGAGGGTGTCCGAATCCAATCCTGTAGGTTTTAAACTTTTCCCCGCATCAGTGCATTATTAGCAGGCTTATGCAGAGCTTAACAATTGTATCAATTGATCGATTTAGTCACACTTAGGTGTGTTAAAGCAGGGAACCTTCTAAAACCTGCAGGACAGCGGCCCTTGGGCAATGGATTTGCACGCCTCCGTTGTAAGTACACCCCTTTACAGATTTTGACATAATTCATGTTTTCTTATTCATAATAGAAAATGAAAGAAAGTTGTTGTTTTCTTTAAATACACTTTTTGCATCTGTCAAAAAAAGCCTTACATTTTTTTCCTTACTTGTTTTTTCTGATTGTGGTGACAGTTCTTACTCTAAACTGAGTCTAAGAGGGAATGTGTCTGTGTGGTTGAGAACAGAAATAAATATTTCAAAGTTAAATGTGGTTTCTTTTTTTTCGCTTGAGCATGAACAAGGCATCGGAAAACAAACAATATTTTTGCCATCTCATTCCTTTGATTATTTTAATCCATAATGCTCAACTCCTTTAGCCATAGAATAAAACATGAAAACTTAGTTGCTCATGCAGGATGCTGTCAGTCCACTGAAAAGGCTTCTAAGCTTCACATAAGCTTGTAAGCTTCACATAAAGGCAAGTGTTTAAGTGCTTCTATTAGGCTGATTCACTATCCAGCCAGAGCCAATGGGGCTTTTATACAGCAGAAGTGTTTACAGCTATAGATGTGAATAATGTCAAACAATCATCCCAAAAACAGTTAATTCCATTCAACAGCTGGGGGTGATTGAAGTGTTAAGTTTGTGCAAGGTGCAGCATTTTTAGTCCAGGCCTGTCGCTCAAACGTAAAGCCCCTCAGAGCTTCCAGCCTGTCTGCACCTCTCCCACAATCCTTTGCAATACCACTACAGCTGCTGCAATAATAATAGCTTGACCCGACCCACCTGCCCAAAAACACAAACACACGAGAACAGATGCACATAGGTAATGATCTCGGCACAAACAGGTGAAGTTAGAAATGGACACAAACACACACATTGGAAAACGAGCCCATTCAGCCACAACGAGTAAACACACACATGTGTCTATCGCCACTGCACGGCAATCTGCACTCTGGGAGACGTCGGCGGGGAAAAGACAGAAGACGGAGTGAGAAAGAAAGCGAGAAAACAAGATTGCAAAGAGAGAGAGAGAGAGTGAGAAAGAAGTATAGTGTGTGTGCGGGTGAGAAAGTTCTAGGTATTTGGTCCAATGGTTTGGTTTGTGTTCAATTTCAGCAACAATTTGATGGTTACTTCTTTTCTCTGAACATGCTTTTAGAGAATAGGCTATACCTTAAATATATACGATGTACGTATGTATATATATGCATTGACACATATATATAAACAGTATATAGATAGATAGATAGATAGATAGATAGATAGATAGATAGATAGATA